AATGATACTCTTGAAGAACACGTAGATGGATAGATGGGCAGATGAGATAGAAATGGTAGAGAAACGCAAGCATGAAATAGCAATGCTGTCGAAAGCGGGGTCGGAGCCGTAAGCGCCTTTGCGCCGCGTCTAGGACTCAGCTCGTTCCTCAACGGCATTGGCGGAACCCGGAGGGGGCCGGTCTCCTGTTAAGTTTTTCCCATGAGGTTAAAAAAAGTGCATTATGTATGGGGGAATCTTTTTTTCGCTGACCGGTAGGTGGGTATGACCGGCAGGTGGGTACTGCATGGTAATTGCAGTAACCAATTCACTCCGCGAGCTGAATATAGCTTCAGGGGGGAGAGCATCATCAGGGAAGACTGCAAGGGTTTGATCCATCGCAAATAGGGCAAGCGGAGCATCAATTGGGTTCATAAAGGGCATAGGACTTAGGATAGGCGATAAAGAAAGTCATAAGCAGCCAATTGGCTTCTGTGAGGCATTTTCGGGTAATCTATGTTGCTGACATAAGGATCCGTTATTTGCACGGGTACCCGTATAATACCCATAAATCCTTATTTGCACGGGTACCCGTGCAGGTATGGATTGCCGTTTTGATTGGCTTTGTATGCTCGGGCCACCGGGTAACTCGCAAGCTGAGAGGGCGGGAGCGTGCCAAAACTTAGGCTGCTCGTAAAATATGATATGACCATCAAACTACGTGTTCTTTGGTCATGATTCTCTGCCCTCCAATCGAGCTCTTACAGCTTCCCAACTGCTTTCAGTCCTCGCTCACCATTCAATAAAATGCACCCCCCTTCGTGACCCGGCCGCCATCGCCAGCCACGACTGCATCGAATCCGCCTCGCTCATTGGCAACCTTGAGGACGCAAAGAACTTGCGAACAGTGGCTTCGGTGGTCATCATATCAAAGAGTCGGCTGAACACTTGGCTAGCAGGATAGGTTGTGTCTTCGGCCGTTCAGGATTGTCAATCAAGGGTGCAGGCATTCAAGGGATGTTGTAGGTTCCGTTCCGTTATCACCCACGCCGCGCTGCGGGGCAGCGGCATATACCGATCGATCACTCCATCAATCTTGAGTGCTTGTGTCATGTGTAAGACCGAAGCCGCGGCTGCGAAGTATAAATCAGTCGATCCTGCGGGTGCATCTTTTCTTGTTTATTGAGCGACTCTCCCGAGTACAGTGACCTTTGATCAATCAGCCATCGTGACCGTGACAATGTCCATTTATGGGTGAGTCATCATGATCAGATCGATGCATCTTCTCCTAGGAGACTCCGCAACTGAACTGACGCCACGGCAGGAGGGCAACTTTCTCTGCTGCAGGGTACGCTGCAGCCAGGCCCACGTATCCTGCAAGTCTGTTCAAGACAATTCTGGGGTATTATCATCATGATGATCCTCATGGTACGCTGCTGGACTTGGGTTCTGGCCATGGAATTGTTGCTAGGGAGCTGAGCCCCCGCTTTGCCAGGGCCATCGCCATTGACCCTAGTGCTGGTATGATGCTGCAGGGAATGCAAGCCACTGCCCAATTCTCCAAGATCTCGTTCCGCCAGGCCAGCGCCGAGGACTTGTCTTTTCTACCCGCGCACTCGGTAGACATGGCTGTAGCCGGCGAGTCAGCGCATTGGTTCGACTACTCCCGAGTCTGGCCAGAGTTGTCCAGGGTAGTTAAGTCAGGCGGCTCACTGGCCTTTTGGGGGTACAAGGACAACATCATCATTGGACACCCGCAAGCCAACAAGATATTTGAGAGGTTCTGCTACGGCGAAGGAGATGTGTCGCCCGGGCTGGAAGGGTTGAACCAGTATTGGGAGCGTCCCGCGCGAGACATCCTCCGGGGCCTGTTGGCGGACGTCAAGCCCCCTGAGTCGGAGTGGGACAAGATCAAGCGAATCACCTACAACGTTGACAAAGACACGACTGAGGTTGCAGACCCAGAGGTGGCCTGGATGAGGAGCAAGATCAACCTAGGACAGTTTGAGGCTTATGTGCGGGCCTTCACTGCGTACCGGGGCTGGATGGATGCGCACCCGGACAAGAAGAGCCGTGCCGAAGGTGGTGAGGGAGACATTGTGGACATCTTGTTTGACCAGATCCTGGAGGCAGAACCCGAGTGGAAGGCACAGGGTGATCGCTGGAGAGATATCCAGGTTGAATCAGTCTGGGGCACGTACATTTTGCTGGCGAAGAGGAAGTGAGGACGAGAACCGTGAGGTCTTGATCAGGGCGGATATTCCGCCAAGACTTGATGAAAGTGATCGATAGCCACGCAACAGATGTTTATGCAAACAGGCTTGCAAACAAATAAATCAAATCCAAATCTATTCAAATCAAATCAAATCTATCCAAATCAAATCAAATCGCGATGTCCAGATTTATTTGGATATCTGGCTATTTGGATAAGCCCCACTTCTGTGATCTGGCCCAATCACTGCCAGCCATTATGCCCCTGCCCGCGTCGCGTAAGGTTACACGAAATTCTGGTTTCTTACCATCTTGCGACGCGCTGCATACGAAATCAGTTTATTCTAAGCCTATGTCGGCCTTGCAATGAACACACCGCACTACTCCATGAATGGAATGGTCTGAGAATATTGTAAAGCGATCGGCAATTCACGATAATTCTCGTGGTTTATTTGATATGGTTCAATATGCGAATACTGACCAGGCGTCAAGAGCTCTTTCCAGTGCTCCTTCTACTGCTTTTAGCCTCCTTGATAGCCCTGACCTCGGTTCGTCAGAGACCAAAGGAGGAGCGGCGGATGACGCATCATTTTCGGTCGACTATATCGGCTATGAAGGCATCGACTGGAATCGCCTTTCGGGGTATTCCATTCGCAAACATCAAAGAAGGCCGCGGACAGGGTGGGTATGGGAACACGGATTCGATATCGAAAAAGACGGCTCCGGTCACCGATTCTGGCTTTGCAAAATGTGTCACCAGAAGAAGGCTACGATCACCCACATGTACGACGCTGCATCTACGAGCCAAGCAAACGGTCATATGGAAGATATCCACCGTATCAATAAAGACGGATCCATGCCACCGCAGAGGAAGAAACAACGCACTCTTTTCGACATGGTTGACCTAGACCCTCATCGGCCAAAGGATCAAGCCTTGATGAACGCATTTATAGCATCATTCGAACCTGCCCGCTTTCAACATTTACTCATACGTTGGGTGGCATGCGATAATATCCCATTTTACAAGCTTGAGAGCCCATACTTTCGCGTTCTTATGGCGTACGCAAACAGTGCCATCGTGGATTCGGGAAGTCTTCCCACCCATAGCACGATTCGCGAATGGATTGTTCGGACCTTCAGTCGTCATAAAGGCGTCGTGACGGAATTACTTGGCCGTTCTCTCAGCCGCATTAATATCTCCTTTGATGCGTGGTCGTCTCGCAAGTTTACCTCTCTGCTCGGCCTCACCGTGCACTTTCTTGATGATGAAGGGAAGTTCCGTACATTTCTCCTAGGCTTGCCACGGATTGAAGGTCGCCACGGCGGCGAAAACCTTGCCGACCGCGTTAGCAAGATACTACATGAATACGGGATCGAGGAGCGCACTGGGTACTTTGTCACAGATAACGCGGGCAGCAACGACACGTGTCTTGAAGATCTGGGTATTGAATTGGGTTTCAAGAAGCAGCATCGTCGGCTTCGTTGTTGTGGTCACATCATTAATCTCGTCGCTAGATCCATTCTTTTCGGCACGGACGTCGACGCATTTGAAGAGGATTGTCAAGCCGACGAGGAAATCCAAGATGAGGTCCAACTCTGGAGATCAAAGGGTCCTATAGGCAAACTGCACAATATTATTCACTGGGTGCAAAGGTCCGGTCAGCGCATTGAGAAGCTGCACAAGCTCCAGTCTATTGAGAACACCGCCTTAAGCCTCGAGGACAAAACAACCTACGACGTCATCACCGACAACGCTACTCGCTGGAACTCGTCTGAAGCCATGATGGAGCGGGGCTACCTGCTTCGGAACACACTCGATTCTCTGGTCCAAGCGGAGGTAACAGAATGGAACCAGTACGTGGCCAGGAGGACACAGAACGGGATAATACCGATGCCGAAGAAGAGCCGCAAGAAACCTGCGATTGTTGATGATAAGATGACCGCTGAGGACTGGTCAATAATTGCAGAGTATCTGGCAATCCTAAAACCATTAAAGATTGCGACCAAGCGCCTGGAAGGCCGACCTCAAGAAGGCAAATTTGGCGCGATTTGGGAGGTTCTACTAACGATGGAGTGGCTTTTGAAGCATCTGGAAGAGGCTAAGTTACAACATGAACGAGACGAGGAACCGTACCTACGGATTGGCTGCAACCTCGGCTGGATGAAACTGGACCAATACTACACCCTTACCGAGGATAGCCCTGCCTACCTCGCGGCGCTTGTCCTCCATCCCGCATTTCGCTGGTCGACTGTCGAGTCGCAGTGGGCTGACCATCCGGGCTGGTTAATCAGAGGAAAGACAGCAGTGCAAGAGCTATGGGAGGAGTATCGAAACCTCTCCGTCGAGCAGGATGCGCTACCGGAGCAGCCGACTATTGCAAGGAAGACAACAGACCTGGATGACTTTATGGCCTCGATCAGGAAGCTCAGTACTCAGCCTGCGCCTTCGACGTCTGCCATGCGCGATGAGTATGCAGAGTGGGTGGCCACAACCGATCCAGGCGATTGTTTAGTGGATGACCCGATTCAATACTGGCTTCTCCGAAGGCGCCAGTATCCACGTCTGTCGCGGATGGCAATTGATCTCTTTTCAGTCCCGGCCATGTCATCCGAGCCAGAGCGGATATTCAGCCTCGCCGGGCAAATGGTCACGGCTCAGAGAGGGCGTCTCAAAGCGGATCTCATAGGAGCTGCTCAATGTATATCGTCTTGGGAGAAAAGTGGGGTTATCCAGATATCCAAATAAGATCCAAATCGATCCAAATCAAATCAAATCAAATCAAATCGCCAATTTTAGTATCCAAATCAAATCAAATTAGACCCCCGATTTGATTTGATTTATTTGTTTGCAAGCCTGATCTCGTTTCTAGAGCGTGAATATACTGCTGTGCCTCTTCGCTAATGTAATGATGTATTAAGGTACAGTTACAACTCGTGTGCTGTAACAGTTGCATCTTCAGATATAGAACCTCTTCTTTCAGGTCACCCACGCAGCTAGATAGCATTCTATGGCGTTGCTCCATAGCCTGTTCATAGGACTGGAGTTTCGCAAGATCATCCTTCTTTCTCATGCGACATTTATTGGCAGCGATACGATTTCTCTCTTGTGCTTGCTTATGTTTCGCGTGTTTATGATTAGTCGCGCCGCTGCTGATGTTGGTCCCATTTTCGTCAGCAAGACTCCCTTTTCTCCTCTGATCGTCCGTATTATTATCTCCTCTGGCATTGCGTCTAGCGGATCTTAGAGCTACGCGTTCACTAAGCTACGTCTTACTCTTTCAGTCGGGCTTTTTAGGTGGCTCTTGCGACAACTGCAGGGAAGGAGTCAAGGTTAAGGGTGACTCATCAGCGACTGTTACCAGGTGTTCGGATGATAGAGTTTGGTTCTTGACGGTGGAGTACGTATCGACCCAACGGTCTCCTGAACTAAAGTCCCTGTAAAATACGAATTGGTCTTGGGGAAGGTAAGTCTGTCTGGACAGCGTAGTGATGCAGACTTCATCCTGGAAAGCGCCCAGGAAGGCTGGCGAGTTCATAGACTCCGAGAGCTCCCATTGATGATGGGATGGAACGACCGGACAGTATACAGTGAGGTCGTTTCCAATAGCCTCGTCTGGAGTGCAGCCGTCGAGCATTGTCACTCCTTCCATGTATAGAAGGGAGTTCGTGTGAGCGTCTACTTCAGAATATCAGATCATATTGGTCAGGCATGGTTAAAAGAAATAAACCTACTATAGCTCATTTATCTGCTGAGGGTAGGAATAATGGCGTAATAATGCTCTCTATAGGAGGCTATTAGTGGCTTGCTAAACGGGTCAATAAGTATAGAGATAAGCATCTAGAAATCTATTGATGACTTAGTAAAGTTAAGACCTTGGGTTTAAGACCAGTTTTGCGGGAAGTTGATGTGGGTAGAACGAAAGTCGTATTTGCTTCTGGACTATCTTCTGCGCGGACTGCTTCAAGCCTAAAGCGCAACTGCCTCGCTCCAGTGGCAACCCAGTGTCACTTGGCTGCATATAGGTAACATCAAGGCCCATTAAATACATGGTCTAGATAAAAGAGGTGACCAAGAGAGGGCACTAATGAGAGGTTAGGTTGCCGGCTAAGGTCCTCAACTTTCCGGAACCCATATCTTTGTACATCCCGAAGTGTCAAAGGGTGCATACAGCCCAATATCTAAGTACTAAGACAGGTGAGAGGCTTACTCTACACTAGACCTCAGTCATGTCATTTTTGGGATCGAAGTCTAGATCTCTGATGGTACAGAAGCCATATAGAAATAGGCGAGTTAGCCTAAGAGTTTAAGGGACTCAAGATAGGATAAGGCAGCGGATAATGCATTGCAAGTCGATGGGTTCTTACTCACTGCATATCACAGTTTTAAGTTAATAAAGCAGGTTATTGTGGTGGCCCGATCCTACACGCCTCGCTAGAACACAACCCCCATCTCCATACTGTGATTGGACAGGAGTCCTCGGAGCGAATCTGGTCGTTGTGATTGGCCACTGAAAACTGGAAAACAAGATAAGGCGAGAGGTATGACTCGCGATGACGCGCCGCGTCTTAACTCAATCTGCAAACCTCGAGCGTCGCACCAGGAATATCGAAGAAGAGCATGAGATAAGTTCATATGGGCAGCTACGTTTAAGGACTACTTGATTCCCGTGGACTGGTAGCCCCAAGACCTTTGGATGGCGTATTGACGTCTACGATTTAAGAATATGCCAAGACGAGCACCATACTAATCTCGACCTTTCTCACGCAGGACTCGACCACTCTCGACTCCTTGCTTGATGGTGACTTGCTCCATATATTCTCCCCAATCTCTGCTAGATAGCATCCATCCACCCGCCCAACACATATCCTCCATATAGGGCCCGACAAGACTCTCCCAGCTCTACGGCGGCCGTGGAGATATTCCCCACTTCATATCCTATCCATCATCATAGTCCGACCTTTGGACTCAATGACTTGTCTGGATTCTCAGACGAAGGGTCTCGCTGGGGAAGCTAGCTGGCGTTAGCAATCTCTTCCTTATCTTGAGTCTAGCATGATTAAGTTGGCCCTTACCTTTGGCCGGCCCCGGTGCTGGCTAATGCACATCGTCGCGTGAATTGCTCGAAGTCGCCCTTCTTCATACCTAGTACTCAATATCTTCCCGTGGTATGTCAGGTCCTCATCCGTGATGAGGATGAGGGGCATAGGGCGGAACCACATTTTTCGGTGTTCGGGATATCTTAGTGGTGATATTGCCCTGCGTTAGGTCATAAACTCGCAACGGCCCTCGAGGGGAAGCTGGCGCATTTAACCAGATATATGGTACATGGATGGGGATATACGTATGGTTACAGAAAAGTTTTATGAGACAACACACAACACATCACAATCCATCGCTCATGTGTGATCAGGTAGGGACCCCTGGCTGCAGGATATCCTGTGAAGTTTGAACTTGCCCCTCCATGACGAAACGGTCTCGACCCCTGCGTTGGCCAATCAAGGCATTACGGAGGCTCCGTAAGCCCAGGTTCAAGGCCTGTTGCCGATCGGGTGGTGCCCGAGACATAAGTGACATTGGTTCAAGTAAGCCATCTCATCAACGGGCTTCCGAGTGCTGGGGTTCCCCAATTGAATACTTTGAGTCGGTTAGCGGCAAATAATTCGAATGCCTGCAACGAAAAGACGGGATCTGATGGGATATGCCGCTGATATGGGATGATTTAAAATTCGGGTCTGCAGAGCTGCTAGCCCGACAAAAGGCAAAGTCTTGGCCTCGGTCCATTTTAATTGCTATTACACGTACCCTTCAACGTGTAGTTAAACCTCATATAGGTAACTGCCCTATCGTTGGACAAATTTTAGAGACATCCAATAGTCCTTATTACAGAAGGATTCTTCCTTTCAAATCTAATACTAAATGTATTTGCCACTGCGGCGAAAAAGCATGTATACTGAGGTACCTGCTGATTTGAATTTTATTAGTGGAGGCTTACCGCAGTTAAATGGGTTTATCCCTGCACCTTTCCTCGCCGCCCCAGCCCGTCGATTCTACTTCCTCATCATTTCCACTTTGAAAATCCATCAAATATTTGATCAAAAACACCTTCTCCCGATCCCACAAGATCCTACAATTTCAGACAACTGGCAAAGGAAACCAGTGGCCTCTTAATTTGCCATTATAACTACGAATTCCTCCCAAGATCAAGATGGCTTTCTTTACGTCTGACAGTATCTGCCCAGCCGATCTCTATCAATTCTCGGACCAGCGGGGAGGAGTAGATAGCTACAATATCAAGCAGCTTTCCCCAGTGACCCCCGAGAAAGAATCACTACTAGATTCACGACAGCGCGGCAACGGCGCAGACATCAGCACTCAAAGAGGTCCTAGTGCCAATCTACGCACCGCATCGCATAAGCCGAAAAAGCCGAAAAAGCGGTTAACTAAGAATGTGGCTTATAAGAAGCCGCCTTCCTTGGAAACATTAAAACAGCCACGCCAGAACCATAACTTGGTTGAGAAGCGATACCGCAGCCGGCTAAAGAACCATTTCGAAAGTCTGCTCGCCGTTTTACCAATACCACCGTGTAAAGATGGCCATAATTATGATAGCTGCGACCATTGCTTTAGCAGAGCTGAAGTGCTAATCTCTGCGCGAGATCGCATTGTGTCGCTTGAGGAAGGCTTTGAGGCGATGGCTAAAGAGCGGGACCAGCTACTGACAGATATCGCTCTGATGTACGAGTTCACATATTGAGAGTGAAAGGTCACTAGCTCGTTAATAGATACATACATTACGTTGTAATATCTCTATAATATTTCTATAGTTATATATAGCTCTAAATCCTGTTGTGCTTAGCTAACTGATGTATCCTGCCTAGGCGGTATTCGTTTATTATAGTGATAGGACCTTGATAGGGATGGCAGCTGTCCTCACAGGTTTCAGTGACCTCCTATTGCTAATGTGTCGTAATATGAAGATGTTATGAGTAATTCTGTGTTAGTAGTCCCAATTGTCTCTACTATTGACGCTAAAAGAATCCGGCCACCCTCCTGTTAGCCTCTTCCTCCTGATAAAAAGAGAGGAAAAGGTCCAGTGACGAGAACAGGTTATCCAAGACGTGATATATCGCTTTCGGTAGTATGGTCACATCCTCTGATCGTGCGTTGATGAGCTCGAAAAATTCTTCCTCCTTGCTTGGTGGTAACGTTGCTGTTAGATACCATCCAGGACCACCTAATGCATAACCCCACCTAATGCATAACCAAAATTTCGCTCCTCCCATACAAAATCCAAATTTTCAATTGCATTGTATTCGGCCAGGCATGAAGATACTCGCGAACGAAGACCTGCACTATATTGCTTTTTTCATCGAATTTTCATATCGGCTTGAATTTTTCCCGTTCCGCCCCGTAGCCTGGTTCTCTAGCCCTTTGAATTTTGTCGCATTTCACCTCATGTACCCTAGGCGACTCCATCCACTCAAGCCGAACTTTCACCTAATTTACTCGCCACAACTCCTTTCGTAATGGTTCGCCGTTATTATACCGAAGATGACGTAGCTGAGGCTATATTCGACACCACCGATAGAGGCCTCTCACAGAATGAGGCGGCCCAGAAACGTGGAGTACCTCAGTGGACCATTTCGAGACGACTTTCCGGTCAAGCAAGCAGGAATGAACGTATCCAGGCCCACCAGCGTATTCCAAAGAGCCAGGAGGAGACGCTTATTCGTTGGGTGCTGCGACAAGAGTCTCTAGGCTATGCTCCCTCGCACAGCCAGGTCCGCGCCTGTGTCGAGGCCATCCTCAAACAACAAGGCGATAACAAACCTTTAGGCAAGCACTGGACCACCAGGTTCGTCAAACGTCACCCAAAACTATCTACCAAGATTGGAAAACGTCAAGAAGCCGCCAGATTTGACGGCTTTACTCCGAAGGCGGTCAATTGGTACTTCGATATCAGGGAGAACGAGTACGGCTGGATCAAGCCTGAGAACACAGTTAACGTGGACGAGGGCGGTATAATGGCGGGTTTCGGTAAGTCTTCTGCAAGTACTCTATGGGCTTTTATAGGGCATAGCTAATTGGTTGTCCATGAGGCCTGGACAGCCTCGTGATCGGGAGCTCCGACCCGAAGAAGGCGATGTTGAAAGGCGTTCAGTCGCGCACTTGGACCTCGTTTATTGAGGCTGTCACCGCAAGTGGCCGTGCTTTGAAGCCGGGAATTATCTTTAAAGTAAAAGAGCTGCAGAAGCAGTGGTTCCTTAACGAATTCGAATTGATAGCGGACTGGCACTACATCACATCACCGAACGGCTGGACAGACAACCATATAGCTCTCGAGTGGTTGAAGGACGTTATCTACCACAAACGGAGCCTCGTGATGCATCGGATGCGAGACTTATTATCCTTGATGGTCACGGGAGCCATGCGCAGGTGAGCATTTCGGTGTTTTCGCCGCTGAGTCACCCGCTATAGGGTCGCTGACGAGCAGTCAGGACGAGTGGATGGCTACGTGCTTTCTGAACAACGTCTACTGCTGTTACTTACCAGCACATTGTTCCCATGGTCTGCAGCCATTAGATAATGGGACTTTTAATGTCATCAAAGGTGCGTATCGGAAAGAACTCCAAATGCTGGCTAGTTTGACCGATTCTGCGCCGGTTGACAAAGTCAACTTTATCCGGGCATATGCGAAAGCCAGGGAGGCGGGCATGAGGAAAGATATTATCTTATCCGGCTGGAGGTTTACTGGAAGTTGGCCAATAAATCGGTATAAAGCTCTAGCACATCCGGACATTCAGCCAGACAAAGAAAAACTGCTGGAAGAGTTAAAGACGCCGAGCCCTCCTCAACTGCACTCAGATGATACGCCGAAAACGAGTCGGCAAGTGAGGGAAATGACCAAACACCGAAGCCGTCCGACTAGACGGAAGTACAGTAAGATCGCAAAGGGATTGGAAGCTTTAGAGATGAAAGTGGCCGTTCAGAATGCGCGGATTACTGGCCTCGAGGAGCAGATGGCCTAGATGCGGCGAGGGAAGAAAAGAAAGGCGGTACCGAACCCGAACCGACGATTCATGGCTCTGTCGGAGAATCTAGCGGCTGGAGAAGCTCTTCCTGACTCAAAAGAGGCAGAAATAGAGATGGTTGTGAATGAGGAGGTCGAGCCGGTGATTGAGGTGGGTGTCAGGTCAGAGGATGAAAGTGATGACTTTATGGTCGTAGCAAAGCGCTGCCAGCGCACACGGAGCGGTCGAGAGGTCAAAAACCACGCAGACAGTAAAATTTGAGCAATTTTCTAGAAACTTTCTCCAAAGCCTCATTTATTAATTGAGAATCGGGCCTGTTTTTGTGGACATCAAAATTTGGATTTTGTATGGGAGGAGCAAAATTTTGGTTATGCATTAGGTGGTCCTGGATGGTATACCATCTGGACCCCAACTAGTGCTAGCCGACCCACCTCTCTTAGCCTCGGTCGAAAGTCCCGTGTGCCCTCTCATATCTTGTGCGCTTCGTCAAACACAAACCCGTCAAGTTGCGCCATCACCCGAAGTCCTTCCACGTAATCATGGAACCGCTTAGTCATTGCTGATTCGGGCGTGACAAAAACAAGCGATGCTGGCCCTGGGGACTGATCGCTGCGCCACTCGGCACATGGTATCTTCATTTTCCGACAGCGTTCTATCAAGTCACCCTGTAGCGATACCAGCGGAACTACCACGACAGTCACCCCACCTGGGCAGCTTGCTGCTGGCAACATAAAGCTCAAGCTCTTTCCACCCCCTGTTCCCATCACGACTACAATCGGACTCTTATTCATCATAATCGCCTGAATCGCCTCACGCTGAATACCTCGGAATCTAGCTTGCTCCCCGTACAAGTAGATAAGTTCCCGGTCGATATTGATCCGGCGATGTGACTTCCATCTCTCTAACTGCAGTTTTCGAAGCGTTTCGTCGTAGATAGATACATTCTTTCGCTTTCGGCCTGAAGTAAGAACCCCGTCGAACCCTCCTATTGTAGGCAGGAATCCCAGTAACCGGTGCCATTCTTTACTGATATATCGGAAGCTGACTCGGCGTTCGTTTGTTTCAAATGCTCCTTCGGTAACCAACCGTCTGTAGATCAAGCGTGCAGTCTTCGACCCGTGACCCGCTTGCAAGTCATATAGGCTGTCCTCATCATCATCACTCTCGCTACCGCTATCGTCTGAGTCCATTTCGTGTAGCAGCCTCGTGTGAGCTGTAGATGCGTTTCGGAAGTATCGTCGGCCGATTGCAGTGGAGATATGCCTCCAGCTGCTAATATTAAGCTTTTGCCCACAAGCCAGAGCACTGAGTCTTCCGATGCTGCGCGATAAGCGTAGAGATGCCCAATGTTCCCCGGGACCTAGTTTCCAACCATTCTGCCCGCCTTCACCATCCTGGCTAGCCTGAGTTTGACTGGCTTCCATAACTCCATCTGCCTGTTCACCGTCTTGTTGCCTCCCACTCTCTTGAGTACCTTCTGTTGCCCATAAGCCAGCGTTGAAGATAGACTTGTCCCATACATTGGCCTGGATATCTTCCCAGAACGGCAGAACGAGCCATAAATAGTACGTCAATAAAGTGCCAACCTCTCGCGGCAAGACGCGGTGGATGCTCTTGAGCCTCCCAGTCGTTGTGAAACCTTTATGTGCTCCCGTAACAATCATAATGAGCCCCTGATCGCATAGAATATTGCGAATTCCTCCATTGCTTGTGTTGCGATGCCGGATAACAAGAAGTTCCCATGCTCTTAGCGGGAACCCGCCGCTAATATGCGCAAGAACTGCCAGCAGTTCCAATGCTTTCTCTACCTTGAGACCGTATCGATATGCCATCTTGGAATTTATTTCTACGCCGCTGTCGTTAATTGACTTGACCCACTTGCTTCTCAAGCCGCTGTCTTGTAAGACCTTTTTAATGACCCGGCCTTTGCTAGAGCCACCGTCGCGTTGGAATAATTTATCAATGAACGAATGCCAGATCGTTTCGTCAGCCGCATTATCCAGAAGCTGGTCCCATGGGATTTTGGGCAGTCCAAGTTCGGCCGAAGACTACTCTGAGAACTCGGTGAACAATAATAAATCCTTGTAGAGAATAGTCTCCAACTGTTGGACCGCTAGTCTCATCATCGCCTGTATATCGAGAACGCTGAGACGAATACCCTTGTAGATAAGCTCCTCTCTGCCCTTGTCCCAGCTTACTGAACCATGTACTGCCGTGTTGTTTTGTGCAGCCATGCCGAAATTTCGGAGCCGGATAATAAACTACGTCGGTGTCGTTTCCCAGCCCTCTCCCCCGCCTACCATAAACCGACGAGTCATCTCGGATATCAGTGCAAAATAGCTCGGGCTATTCCTCTCTGCTTCTTCTTGACTTTGACCCTGCTGCATCTTTTGCTTGATAACTTTGGCTCGTTGATCCACAGCGTATTTAATAATGCATAGACGAGAGATTGCCATAATGGCAGAAAGCTTTGGCGTGAAACCTGAATAGCCCTCCCAAGTACCATCTGCTCGCACACTGAGAACGGTCAAGAAGCTGACAAGAACGCTATCGTACTCCGTGTCCTTCGTGAAATGGTCAAGAACAGAGATATATAGCTCCAGAACGGCAGTCTCCAGTAGATCAAGAAGTCTGACAATCTCGGGCGCTTCTGGGTCACCCTCATATTCTTTCCAAGCATCAGTCAAGCCATCTGCTTGATCCATCATGACATCATAAGCCTTCTGCTGCTTTATGCTGATTTTGAATGGTGGTCGATCCGCCTTGTCCTTAAAAGACATGCATCGCACGATGTAAGCAAATAGCTGCTTGACCACAAGTGTATACCTTCTCTGCGTTTCGGGTTTAAACCGGAAGTGAAATGGCTTTGTCCTCTCTTTCTTAGTTCTTTGCGATTCACTTCGAATAAAGCGTTCCAAGATATAACATTTGGAGTAAGAACAGCCTTGGCGTGGTTGATCAGCCGATCGAATGCGATATGTACGAACCGTAGTTGAGCATCGTCCGACTTGTCTGGATCGTTCGGGTCGACTTCGTATTCCATAGCGATCAAATCCCTCAAGAAGTCCTTTTTCCCACTAAAGTCCTTTAAGTGGAGAGCCGAACCAAGCCGACGAAGCTACGGGTTTGGCGCAGTGAAGTCGTCCTCTATGTCAATACGTCCTGCCTCTCGTCTTCGAATATCTTTGCCCTTGCTCTGGAATGCATGGATGGCTTGCTGAAGTCTGGCTTGTGACTCATTGTCTTGAACCATTGATTGTTCGAGACTCAGCCCTCTTGCTACCTCGAATAGCTCACTTCCTAGTCCCCTCAAGAACAATCGTTGATAATAGACTCCTGTCCTCCACGGACTGTTGCTCCTTTCGTCCTCTGCTGTAGTAGCTGAGCGACGTCCCCCTTGAGTTCCAAGTCCCAATTATGTATAACCCTGAGATGTTCTCGAATCCGCCTCAAATCTGTGCCTACATATCGGCAATTGGGCTGGGATATGCTTTGCTCTGGGATAAACTCGCACCTAATAGCTCCTGTGCCTGGCGGACCTAATCCTGCAATTGGCGGTGCATGGTCGGGCCTGGGTGGCAGATTATCATGAGCCTCTTGCTGACTCTGGAAAATTTCATGGTTAGATGCCCATTGTTGCGCATCCCTAATCTCTTCAATTCCAAGATGATGCGGATCACTGCGAAGATGCACCTTGACTTGTTTCTGCGTAACCATGATCCGGCACATGTTGGAAAATCCGGGAATCCCCCTTATCTTCAGGATTCAGAGTGTTAGTCTGAAAGTCCTAGATTTAAAGTTCAAAGTCCTAGATGAAATCAACTAGAGATATAAACCCGAGAAGAACTCTCATCTCAATAATTAACAATCAAGTTTCATAAATAATATTTTCACACAGCACTACTGCGCAATATAAACAACAGCACATGCGGCAGCAGAGAAGTCGGAATTCTGGATCGTATATAAAATACTCCATTGCAACTAAAATTGATGAGATTAAAGTCTTCCTTTAACCTCTAAACTATATTGGCAACTACATAGTATTAATCCCTTCCTCCAACCTCTTTATTTTGAGTCGGCAGTTCTCGAGCTGAATGTGATGAGACATATGGCTACAGCAATATTGCACTTTGTAAGTCAAGAACGTTTTCTCATTGGCCGTGATAGACTGATCCATGTTCACGAACCCTGTCGCCCAACAACGATCAAAGAAAATGATCTTGAAGCAAATATACTGCGCAGCTACCAATATTGCCAGTTCATAGACTGATATTAGTATCAATCGATTTGCAATCATTTCTTTCATAACCTTACCTATTTTGAACTTACTGTAACTATCATAGCGCCCAGAACGCTAATCGTCGGCTGATGTCAGTTTTAATCGTCGGCTGACCCATGTCTTGCTAGCGCCAAAATATTTCCCATACAAATTTAATCGTCGGCTTGTTGGAAGAATTGATGGTTCCCCCTCAACTTCAGGATTAAGGTTCAAGATTAAAGTTAAAGTTTGATGTCCTAAAATTCAAATCGTAGGACTGTCATCTAGGACTCTAGGACTCAAGTCCTAGAAAGAATCAGTCGAAGATATAAGGCCTCAAAGGTCCTTCGACTACAAGGAGAGAAAAAAAAAAATAACAATAACAATCAATTGTTAACTGCACTCAGCATCCCTGCGTAATCCAACAACACGAGTGAGAGTTCTGGCACATTGATCGAAGTCGTGAAGCTGACCCGGAAAACAGAAGCGCGAAATGCGCCGCGTTTCTCCCGCGAAGGGCCGTGCCAACCTTGTAGAAGTCCGCGTTCATGGGTGCTGCGGCCCGTAGTGATTTAAGTTAAGTCGATATAGGAAGGGTGGGACGACGACAAAGATCAGAGTCACCATCTGTGCAGCTGCACCCCAGATCATCCAGGCTCGACGCCCGAGTCTTTCGATGACCCAGATAGGGACCAGCGAGACGATGAATAATTGAACGGAGGCGGTCGAAGACAAGATTGTTGAAGTAAAAAGGGTTGATTGTATTGTTGTTAGTTCTAAGTTACATGTGTCTGAGGAGCACAGCTCCTTACATAGTATCCACATCCCAGCCACCAGTAGGTCGGACCACCTTAGTCACACTGTCTCAACATTTTAATTGTGCTCCATTACAACTGTATGAACTTAATAATTACTTTCATGGCTGAATAAAATAACCAAAACTCAAGAACTTGGATTTATAAGTGAATCGTATCATGGAAAAAGTGTCTCATATCTTGGTCTTTCGCCCTGTCAGTGATACGATGTGCCGTGCTTCTTATCTAAGCCTAGCCTCAAAGGCCTCCTAACTTAATACTTGATGTGTTTCATGCGATACGACCAACCTAGCAACAGACTAGTCCAAACACTACAGTTGTGCAACGTATTCCTGATATAACAACACAATCGCTGTTCATGCAGCTGGGCTTTGGGTCACGTCGATACTAGGCAATATGGCATTCTTATTTAACTGAGTCTTTCACGGCGGCGATCTGGACTCTTTCGTCCTTGGTCGACCAGAGAGTTCATCTAGAGTCTATTCCCGACTACTGTGGTTCTTACGAGTGACATACTCCATCCCCTGACCTTCATGCTTCTTTGCTCCACGCTTACTGTGCTTAGCACGAGCTTCTTGCTCCTCCTGATCCATCTGCTGCTTCCACTCACTCTTCTCAGTGTTGCGCTCAAGCTTCTTGCCAGGCATGCTGTCTGTCTTGCTCTTCTTCTTTGCCAGCTGTTCGGCTTCTTCTCGCGCAATCTCGGCATCGACTTCGGCGCCGCGCGAGGGCTTGTTGCCGTGCATGGTGGCCTGGGGGAAGTAAAGTGTCAGAAGATTGTCTCATACAACAAATGTTGTGCGTATAGGCTACTTACTGCGAAGCCCGGTTCGTGCTTCATTCGGTCTTCAATACGTGTTTTTGTCTAATATGGAAGCTCAGTCAGTGATCCCGCAACAATGAACGAGCACTTACGTCCCTCTCCTGGAGCTCGTTCATAATTTTCTCTTTGTTGACTATCACCAGTCAGGTTCATCAGCATTCCATGTTACTATAGGAACATACGGTATCCCTCTGTGTTGACGCCATGCATGCGACCCTCCTCATGGATAGCCTCCCTACTGTAATGGCGCTGATCTCCACCCTCGTAGGAGGAAGAATATCCGACATTTGAGCGACCTGACATGTTGATGTTGTGATATGTTTTAAACGAAGTGGTAGTTTATAAAACAGGTGACTGAGGAGAATTGAAGCTTACTCCAAAGATATTTGTAGTATTTGCTAGCTCGATGGCTTCATCATGTCAGCGTCATTGAACTTAAAGCTACCATCAAGCTCCTCGATTTAATGTTTACAAATGATGTCACTAAGAGGAGATATGATGCGTAGCTGCGGTTCTTGGGGTAACGATAGAAATTTCGACAGGGTGCCGAACGGCAGATCTCTGTCCAAATACGGGGTGAGTATAATTAAAGAAAGTACCATGCTCTAAAATCAACATAGTAGCCACTAAGGTAAGTCATATTTCTATGAGTATGAATGGCATGGTTTGTCTATTGCACCACCTCGGCTCATTAATTGATCCAGGGTAGTGAACTGTAGATAAGATAACGGTGCTCGATGTGTAGGCTCACGTGATCGTCGAATTTTCGCTCGACGCGTTTCAATTACGACAAATCACGCGTATATATCGTGAAAAAACATCAACACCAGCGAGAACGAAATTTTTGAAAACAACAGCTATTTACAGCGCCGCAACACCGTTCCGACAGGTTAATTGGATAGCCCAGTGTCGACCGCATTGCCCAGTGCGACTCAGACATCATGGCGACCCCGTGGCCCCAGGACGAAATCTGGCCCACTGATTACCGAGAGCACGCCACAAATTTGAGCAAATATCTTCAAAAGGCACTGTCAGCCATCGACAACGGAGATGGTCTGCCTGTCGCATCCCGTGGAGTTCGAGTTGCACTTATTGGAGCTCTCACCCTCATCGTCAAAATGCAGAGCACACCCGATCTTGGTCACGTTTACGAAGCCGTGAAGAACGGCCAAGCTGAAATAAAAACCGCAGCCGAAAATTTAGCGCAACACATCAACAGCCTCAAAAATGATCTCAATGAAACAAACACCCAAGCTCAACAAACCATGGAAGAAGTCCAGCGCAGTTCGGAGATTACGACAGACGCAAAAGCGGCTGCAAAGGAGGCCACAGAGATCGGTAAAGCAACGATGAAAATGATCAGAGACATGAAGCTCGTAAGCCAGCAGAACCAAGCCAACGCCATGCCTACCTACGCCAACGTGCTGGCGAGGGGAGGGCTAGCGGCAAGCATGCATAACCCACCGAACCAGAAAGCGTCACCTGTTCAGACCCTGCGTGAGATTATCATCAACATCAGAGACCCTGTCACTATAGCCAACATCAGAATGATGAGCCCACGCAGCCTGAAGTCACATGTAGACCTCGCAATTGAGCAAAGCAGCAACGAACACATAGAGAACATCAAGGTAGTATCCTCCAATCAGCTTAAGAGCGGTGACCTGAGCATCAAGACGGCCACTACAGCGGACATGGTGGCGCTTAGACAGTTTGCAGAAGACTGGGAACAAAGGATCGGAAACGGCGCCACAGTACGCATTCCGACGTACGGTGTCTTGGTGCATGGCGTACGCACTAGTTCGATGAACATGGACAATTTTGAACTCATCAGAGATGGGATACTTCAGGATAACAAGCCCTTTATACCAAATGCAGAGATCAAGTACATAGGCTGGCTGACGAGATCTTCGTCTACCAAATCAGCATCTTCGGTCGTGGTTGAGTTCACGAGACCAGAAGACGCAAATAAAGTCATCGATGAGGGCCTCATCTGGCAAGGCGAGGTGTTCCAATGCGAGCTCTATGACAGACAGTGCCGTGTGAGACAATGCTTCCAGTGTCACAAATACGGCCACATAGGAACCCAGTGCAAAGCAACAATAACATGCGGCTACTGCGCGCAAGATCATGCCACCCGGGATTGCCCAACCAAGAGCGACAGGAACGCCCCGCGAAAATGCGCGGCCTGCAACGGCCCGCACGAAGCCTGGAACAACCAATGCCCTACCAGGAAACAGGAGGTGAACAAGGCCAAAGCAGCCTCTAAATCGAGACCCAGGTACCACTTGGAACTAGAAAGCTTCGTCGCCGGGATCACGACCGGAATTAGAACAAGGGATCGGCAAAATGAGTCAAACCCGATCGCCAGGACAGGGCGACCCACCTTGGAACCAGGCCGGCCACGAGACGCCAACTCGTCCCGGAGTAGATCGCCGACGAAGAAGCAACAGAAGAGAGCGAATTCCAGCAACAACCAGATAACACCCGATGATCCCAGAAACGAGATCGTCGTGAACATAGGGAGCCAGCGGCCTAGACGAACATTAGCTCCTTCCAGGAGGGTATTGGAAACACTGGACGCCAACAGACAGATCACACAGCAAAGCCAGCAAATGGAGGTTGACGATCAAGAATGTTAATAGGAAACACTCTTACAATACTACAGTATAACGTTAGAAAATCAAAGGACACAGTCATGGCCACGCTCTTGCGAGATCCCGATATAGGGCGATACGACATCCTCGCCATCCAGGAGCCATGGAAGAACCCATTTGACACGACAACTCACCATCCAGCCAAAGACCAGTTTCACCTATGCTACCCAGACAAGGATCGAAACTTCCCAGCTAGGGTCTGCTTTTTTATCAATAAGAGGCTCGATCACTCCAGGTGGCACTTTAGAGAGGTAAGCAGAGATCTCTGCTCGCTGAACCTAGTACTCGGAACAGAAGAAGAGCAACAGATTGTGATACACAACGTCTATAACCCAACAAAAACTGCAACCGAGAGAGGAAGCACGCTTCCACTCCTGGAGCTGGCCATAGAACGATGGTCCCATCACGAACAAATCATTGTTGGCGACTTCAACCTCCACCACGAGCTATGGGGAGGTGATCGGGTCCAGCGAGCAGACCCTGATGCCGCTGAGCTCACCACAATCATGGAAGACTACTGTCTCACGAGCAACCTTGCTCCAGGCACTATCACATATGAAGAGCGTGACGGAAGAACGACCATAGACCTTTGCCTCACGACGGCAGGCCTTGTGGACAGACTGATTCAGTGCGAAATCGAAACAGACATAGACCATGACTCTGACCACCTACCTATCACCACCTCATTAGACCTAAACACTGTCAAAATGATAGCTAAGCCCCGGCGAAATTGGAAAGCGTTAGACGAAAAGACATTCACTCGCGTGCTGCAACGGGAGCTTCCGCCGCAACGAAGATCAAGAACAAAGACGGCTTTGGACAGACATGTGGAAGAAGTAATGGCAGCCATAACGGCAGCTGTCGATGAAGCAGTACCGAAGACGGCTCCGTCACCGAGATCGAAGCCAGGGTGGAACGAAGAATGCGCTGCAGCCTTGGCAGAATCAAAACGACTCCGTCGGCGACACAGCCTGTATCGTACCGAAGAGACATGGGAAGCATACCGTGCGGCGCGAAATGACAAAGGTAGAGTTATCAAGAAAGCACTCAGACAGAATCATCGAGAGAAGGTAGAAGAAGCTGCACAATCCCCGGCAACCCTCTGGCGGTTAGCAAAATGGGCCCGAAACAGACACAGTCAAACACCGAACGTGACACCCGCGCTAGTCAACCCAGCTACAAAGCAGCAAGCAATAACCCCTAGCGAAAAAGCAGAGCTTCTCAGAAAGACCTTCTTTCCGGTGCCACCTGACACTGATATCGAAGACATAGAGAATGCCAACTACCCTGCTCCCACAGCCATGCCACCGATAACAACGAGGGAAATAGAGGAGGCCATTGAGGAGGCAGCCCCACTCAAGGCTCCAGGACCGGACGGCATCACGAACAAAGCACTCCAAATCGCCTCTCCCTGGATCAAGCACCATCTCACCAAGATCTTCAATCAGTCCCTCACCCTTGGCTCCTATCCGGAACACTTTCGACAATCGACAACGGTGGTCCTCAGGAAGCCAGGGAAAGACAACTATACCGTGCCAAAGGCCTACAGGCCGATCGCTCTATTAAACACTACAGGAAAGATCATGGAAGCGGTCATAGCAAAGAGGCTGAGTTATCTCGCCGAGACTCATAACCTGCTGCCTGATACCCATATGGGTGGAAGAAAACTGCGATCCACTGAGCACGCCCTCCACCTTATCATCGACAAGATATATGACGCCTGGAACACCGGGTCAGGCAAAGTGGCAAGTCTACTGCTTCTGGATGTATCAGGGGCGTTTGACAACATTTCACATGCACGCCTACTACACAATCTGCGGAAGAGAAAGATAGATGAAAGAACAGTCAAGTGGATCGGAAGCTTCCTGCGCCCAAGATTCACAACGCTATCAATTGATGGCTTCACATCTGAACCCTACAAATTAGAGACAGGAGAGCCACAAGGATCGAATCTGTCACCGATCCTCTACCTCTTCTACAACGCAGATCTAATCGAAAAGTGCGGAGAGTTAGACGACACGGCCACAACCGGCTTTATAGATGACGTGGCTATACTTACATGGGCAGACTCCACGAAAGAGACATGCAAGAAGCTCCAAGAGGCACTCCATATCGCAGAGCAGTGGGCGGCCACTCATGCGTCTATCTTCGCGCCAGACAAATTCCAGCTTACTCATTTCACACGGACGAGAACAAGAATAGACGTCGAGGAGCCTCTGCAAACAAGATGGGGCACGATCGAACCAAAGAAAACATGCAAATACCTGGGTCTCATCATGGACTCCACCCTCACCTGGAAACAGCACATAGATGAAATACAACGCAAGGTCACCAAGACAGTCAACGCCCTTAGCAGCCTCGGTGGTTCGACTTGGGGAGTGACAATGAGAGAGATGAGAAAGATATACAAAGGAGTGGCTGTGCCGCAGATGATGTACGCCTGTTCTGCCTGGTCGAATGCAAACTGGAGAACCAGGGACAAGCCATACACAGAGCGAACATTGAGCAAGCTTCAAAGCCTACAGGCCAGAGCTTCTAGGGTGATTAGTGGAGCGTACAAAGCAGCATCGATACCTGCCCTTGACGTGGAAACATACCTTCTGCCAGTCGAACAGCAGATCTTCAAGCATAACGTCGACACTCTGGGAAGGGTCGGCCCAGCTGAACGCCGACATACAGAAGAGGAGGCGAGAAGAAACAAGAAGAAAAGCCCGAGACGAG